TCTATAATTTAGAAAAGGATTGTCTTTATTCTCTTTTAATATAGAAGAAAGAAGACTCCTACGTGAAGAATAGCATATTACAATAAGGAAAATATTTGCAACATGCTTGTTGTTATCAAAATAAAATAAAAATAGTCATCTTTTATGCAATAATTATTACAAAAATCCTTATATAATAGTGATAGTTTTATTGCTTGAATAAGTGAGATTCAAGTGATTTGTTTCGTTAATATAAGGTATAACCAATAGAATTTCATTGTATCCTACAAACATTTTTAGCTAACCTCTTAGCATACTAAAATTTTGGGAGCAAAACTAGCCTATAAAAAAGTGATATTTGCGACATGCCTTAAAATCAATCATTTATTTTTTAATTCATAAATTTCAACACAACTTATCTACAAAGTTATGATCATTACTTAAAATATATATTAAGATCATCAAAATTTATAAAATATTATCTTTAAAAATACTAATTTTATTTAATTTAATTAATAAATGAAAACACAACTTATCTACAAAGTTATGATCATTACTTAAAATATTAAGATCATCAAAATTTATAAAATATTATCTTTAAAAATACTAATTTTATTTAATTTAATTAATAAATGAAATTATTAACCAATAATTAATATAACAATTAATATTTATTGGTTAACAAATTTAAATTAATCAATAAACTAATATTTTTAGATATTATTGAAGTAAAAAATTGAAAAATAAGTGACCTTAATATATTCTATGGTGATAACAATATATCACATCCACAACTCACCTGTACAATTTTTTTGTATCTTGAATATAATATAAAATCAAAAAAAAAAATTTATATCAGACTATATAATAAAAATATAGTTCAAATTTTAATTTACGAAAATATAAATAAATAAAAGAAGAAGACGGAATTTACCTACACTTGAAAACTCTACACAGTCGCAGAACTTATTCTCTACGAATGCACACTCACTGGCTCATGATTTTCAACTCAATAAAGTCCTTATATGATACAAATAAAACGAAAGATAGGTACGAAAAATAAAGATATTTTGAATAATTAGCTCTATTAATTTTTTATGCAATTGTTTAATAACAGCTTAAACTCTTTATGGGGAAAGTTCATCAATGTTCACATGTTCGATCCGCCGGTGGAAATGTAAGACTTATACAAGCATTCATTTATCATCTAAATATAAGCTCTAAGTTTGGAACAATAGGTTTTTTATGGCATTGA